AATATTATGCCATTGCATTCCAGCCTGGGCAAAAAGAGTAAAACTCAGTCTCAAAAAAAAAAAAAAAAAAAAAAAAAATCAGACTTCCAAATTTAAGTATAATTTGTTTTTTTCTTTTTCTTTTCTTTTCTTTTTTTTTTTCTTTTTTCTGAAGATGGGGTTTCACCATGTGGTCAGGCTGGTCTTGACCTCCCAACCTCAGGTGATCCACCTGCCCTGGCCTCCAAAGTGCTTGGATTACAGGTGTGAGCCACCACGCCCAGACTTCTTCTTTTTTTTTTTTTTTTTTTTTTTTGAGACAAGGTCTTATTCTTTTGCACAGGCTGGAGTGCAGGGGCACAACCATGACTTACTACAGCCTCAGCCTGTTGGGCTCAAGTGACCCTCCTGCCTTGGCCTCCCAAAGTGCTGTGATTATAGGTGTGAGCTACTGTGCCTGGCCCAAAATCTAAATGTAGCCTCTCTGCTCAGGTGGGCTCGAGCAGGTCAGCTGACACCAGGTCCTTTGGGGATATGGGTCTGCCCCGGCTCATGGACTCCTCACCCTGGATTGCAATTATTTGTTTGTGTGTTTTTCCTACTGGACCACGAGCTCCTTAAGGCAGGGACTGTGCTCATTTTTGATCTTGTTTTTCATTTAATCTTTGTGTCCCTTGTACATAATAGAAGAACTGGCCTCCTGTCTATTCTTGGTATTAAGCTTATTTCTGGGGCCCTGCCCTGAATAGGTCAATGGCTATTTGTCTGTCATGAAAGAAAGACACCATGAGAAAAAACCAACTGTTTTTCTGTCCATGCAACACTCCACAGAACCCTTCACTTCTGATACCAAATACGCAGCCAGCCCCACCCCTACAACCGTCGAGTTCAGATACCAAGTGGGTGTCCTCCAATTCAACTCTGACACTAACTCCCTAGAGTCAGTGCAGATCCTGCAGGTTAGGGCCCAGTCCGCAGACTGCCCCCCACTTCAGAGGCCAATCACAAGTATCGGGCCCCCTGGTTACCTACACTTTGATCCTGCTTGGCTGCAAATAGAGGGTTCCACGAATCCCTCCTCCAGTTTAGTAATTTGCTATGGCATCTCACAGAGCTCAGGGAAACACTTCTGTTAACTGGTTTATTAAAGGAAATGATAGGCTGGGTGCAGTGGCTCACGCCTATAATCCCAGCCCTTTGGGAGGCTGAGGCAGGCAGATCACAAAGTCAGGAGTTTGAGACCAGCCTGACCAACATGGTGAAACTCCATCTCTACTAAAAATACAAAAATTAGCTGGGCATGGTGGCACACACCTGTAATCCCAGCTACTTAGGAGACTGAGACAGGATAATTGCTTGAACCTGGGAGGTGGAGGTTGCAGTGAGCCAAGATCTCGCCATTGCACTCCATCATGGGCAACAGAGCAAGACTTTGTCCCCTCCCCCACCAAAAAAAAGAAAGGAAATGATAAAAGCTTCTGTTCCCATGGAGCTGGGGTTTGCCACCCTCTGCGCACGGGAATGCATTCAGCCTGGAAGCTCTCCAAGCCCTGTGCTGTAGGGATGCTGATGGAGGCCATATCGTATAGGTGTTGTTGGTTCTTAACTTGATCTCCAGCTCCTCTCCACTCTCTGGAAGCAGCTGGGAATGGTGAGGCTGAAAGTTCCAAGTTTCTCATTGCAGCTTGATCTCTCTGATGACCAGCCCACCCAGGAGTCACCTCATCAGAACAAAAGACACTCCTATCACCCAGGAAATACCAGTGGAATTTGGAGCTCTGTGCCAGGGACTGGTATCAAAACCAAATGTTAGAACAAAGCATGCTCCTACCACCCCTATAACTTAGGAAATTTCAAAGGATTTAGGAGCTCAGTGTCAGGGCTGGGCATGGTGGCACACACCTGTGATCCCCACACACCTACTCCAGAGGTTGAGGCAGGAAGATGACTTGAGCCCTGGAGGTGAACACTGCAGTGAGCTGTGACTGCACCACTGCACTCCAGCCGGGGCGATAGAGCAAGACTGTGTTTCAAAATAAACCGCCAAAACGCTGTGTCAAGAACTGGGGGCGGAAACCAAAGATAGGTTGATTGACTGATTGATTTAGGATGTTACAGTCATTCTTTCTACTTTTTTTTTTTCTAAGTGATCTTCCTGCCTCAGCCTCCTGAGTAGGTGGGATCACAGGTACGTGCCACCATACCCGACTAATTTTGAAATTTTTAGTAGAGGCGAGGTGTATGCTGTTGCCAGGCTGGTCTCCAGCTTCTGGACTCAAGCAACCCTCCCACCTCGGCCTCCCAAAGTGCTGAGATTAGAGGCATGAGCCCCACCAAGCTTGGCCTCTTACTTTTTCTTTTTTTTTCCTCTTTTTTAGCATATAGAAGAAAATAAAGAAAAATTAGGATCTTTGAATCTCACTGTCTAAGGACCCTATTAGCATTTTAAAAATATATTCAGAGTAATCATGCATATTAATAGAAAGTCCAAATTATACTGAAATGTATAAGATGGAAAGGAAAAGCTGTCCCCCAGTCTCCTCTCCCAAGAGGTAGCCACTGCTGACAATTTCTCATGGGCCTTTCCACAAAACAAACCTTTTCTCTGCATTTTCAAGCACATGCGTGCACTTCCACTTTGCCATTTACAGCAAGATGATTGCGCTGCTCATGTGGGGCTGCTGCTTGCAATTTTCCCTCCATTTATCTTGATGCATTTTTCACATCAGTAGCTATCAACGCCTCTTTTTTTTTTTTTTTTTTTTTTTAAGATGGGGTCTCGTTCTGTTACCCAGGCTGGAGTGCAGTGGCAGGCACAATCTCAGCTCACTGCAACCTTTACCTCCTGGGTTCAAGCAACTCTCCTGCCTCAGCCTCTTGAGTAGCTAGGATTAAAGGCATCTGCCACAAAACCCCGCTAATTTTTCTGTATTTTTAGTAGAGACGGGGTTTTGCCATGTTGGCCAGGCTGGTCTCAAACTCTTGACCTCAGGTGATCCGCCTGCCTTGGCCTCCCAAAGTGCTGGGATTATAGGTGTGAGCCACTGAGCCTGGTCGACGCCTCCTTTTGAATGCAGTGTCACATAGTAACACGCTCTGCAGTCTATTTAATCAGTCAGTATTTTGGTAAACATGTTAACCAAGTATATTTAGCTATAACATGTTTAACTCAAAAAACATTTAGTTGTTTCCAGTTCTGTCTTTTCAACTGAACACTATGAGAGTCACTATGTAAAAATCCTTGGCGGGACACGGTGGCTCACGCCTGTAATCCCAGCACTTTGGGAGGCCAAGGCGGGTGGATCACCCGAGGTCAGGAGTTCTAGACCAGCCTGACCAATATGGAGAAACCCTGTCTCTACTAAAAATACAAACATTAGACGGCGTGGTTGCAGGAAACTGTAATCCCAGCTAGTCACAGGCAGGAGAATCGCTTGAACCCAGGAGGCGGAGGTTGCAGTGAGCTGAGATCGTGCCATTGCACTCCAGCCTGGGCAACAAGAGCAAAACTCTGCCTCAAAAAAGTAAATAAATTAAATTTAATTTAAAAAATCCTGATGGACATTTCTCCAGCCTGGAGCAGATTCCTAGAAGTGAGTTTACTATGTCAAATGGAATGGCTCCTCTCCTGCCTCCTGAAGAGGCCTGCCTACCCCTACCTCAGCCATGAAGATACTTTGCTGTGCAAAGTTTGGGACCTGTCAGGACACCCAAACATCACTTTGGCACAGACAGCGCTGAGTCTCTGTGTACAAACCACTAAGTGGGGAAGAGACCCTGTTGCCCGCCCAGCTCCTCCCAGGCTGCGTTTTGTGTAGTCAAGAAAGTCACTCAGATTGGGCCCGGTGTCTCATGCCGGTAACCCCAACACTTTGGGATACCAAAGTGGGTGGATCACCTGAGGTCAGGAGTTCAAGACCAACATGGTGAAACCCCATTCTCTACTAAAAATACAAAAAAATTAGCTGGGCTCGGGTGGTGGACTAATCCTAGCTACTTGGGAGGCTGAGGGAGGAGAATCACTTGAATCCAGGAGGTGGAGGTTGCAGTGAGCCAAGATCGCGCCACGGCACTCCAGCCTGGGCAACAAGAGCAAAAACTCTGTCTCAAAAAAACCCACAAAATAAAAGTCACTCGGAGGAACTCAAGGCCCCTCTGGGTTTGCCACTTCTGACCCACCCGTGGGGCTTGTAGAAACTGCCTCTCAGCACAGCTCAATGTTTTGTTAGGGACCGTACCTCCCCGGCCACCCCGCCCTGACCCAGCTGCCGACACTGGCTGGGCTCCATGGGATCAGCTGGGGCTGCTCATTCATTCATTTCCACGTCTACCTGCTGGACTTCCAAGTTGAGGTTCATGGGACCCCATGTCCCCTCCCCATGACCTTCAATCCCACAGAGCCAATGGGCACCGCACGTCGCTCTCATCCTCTGGCATTCCCGCAAGCTGAAGTCACTCCTTCCTTCCCTAAGGCCATCCCGGGACATTCCTCGGGTCATCTGTTTATTGTGTCTGTGTGGGAAAGGACTGGCTGAAGAGGTGGAGCTCCGATTTTGGGAACACGGACACAGATAGTTGGGATGGAAAACAACATGGGAGGAAGCAAAGCCTGATGTGGCGGTGGCTGTGTTGCCTGCCCTGGTCCCAGATGCCCCAGCCAGCTTTTCTCTTGCACCCTTTGTCTACTCATGGCAGTGAGGTAGTGAGAGTCCTGGGCCCACTTCTCCAAACAGCACACAGATGCCTTGACAGGCACCAACCTGGGAAAGGCCAAGGCCGAGGGCGTGGGGTGCACAGTCAGGAACATGCCTCAGCTCGGCATTTTTGAGCCAAGTCATCTTGGCCCAGCATTTGTTCACAGACCCCACCTGCTGGTTGATGGTGACCACAGGGCAGGTGCTGTCACAGGGCATGGACCTTCAACGCCCTCCTCTGTTTCTGTCTCCCCTACCTTCTGCCCACCCACCACTTCCCATTACCCACTGTGTGCCAAGGGCACTGACCCTGTCCTTGTCTTGCAGGAAGAGGAGCAGGACTTGGATGGAGAGAAGGGCCCATCGTCAGCAGGGCCTGAGGAGGAGGATGGTGAGTGGGACCTCTGAGCTCATGAAGGGGACTGACCATGTCGGGGTTGCCTGTGCCCTGCTGGGGATCCTGGGACCTGGGGTTTGAGTGCCGAGGGGAGGGGTAGGGTGAGTCAGTGGCCTGAGGAGCACTGGGAGGTGGAGTCTGGCGCCATGGATGTCCTTCCCTGGACGTCTGTACCCCTCCCTGACCTCCACCCTTACACTTTGGGGCTTGGCTTTCCCATCCCAGGGGCCCCTCTTGGGAACACACTACGCGCCCTGTGCAGCTCTGTCCTGCGCTGCCTCCCAACTCTCCTCTTGTGACCGTCTGTACCCCTCCCTGACCCCCACCCTTAAACTTTGGGGCTTGGCTTTCCCATCCCAGGGGCCCCTCTTGGGAACACACTACGCGCCCTGCGCAGCTCTGTCCTGCGCTGCCTCCCAGCTCTCCTCTTGTGACCGTCTGTACCCCTCCCTGACCCCCACCCTTAAACTTTGGGGCTTGGCTTTCCCATCCCAGGGGCCCCTCTTGGGAACACACTACGCGCCCTGCGCAGCTCTGTCCTGCGCTGCCTCGCGGCTCTCCTCTTGTGACCGTCTGTACCCCTCCCTGACCCCCATCCTTACACTTTGGGGCTTGGCTTTCCCATCCCAGGGGCCCCTCTTAGGAACACACTACGCGCCCTGTGCAGCTCTGTCCTGCACTGCCTCCCAGCTCTCCTCTTGTGACCGTCTGTACATTCCACGCTTCTCTCCAAACATCTCTGACCTATTTTACTGATGAAAACCACTCAAAAGACCTCACTCGTGCCTTCTTCAGAATAAGGCCCAGGAAGGGACACGCCTGCTTTCTGAGCAGCTCTGGCTGACTGGCCACATGCCCCAGCCATGAGACAGAGGAGAAAGGGAGCGGCCGAGAACAGGGAGACACTGCCAGGTCTCCCTGGCCAGGACAGACAGAGGCGGAGCAAAACGTGGAGTGGCTTCTGCGGGGTCCATCCACTTATTTCTCTAAAGAAAGTGGAGCCAGACATGCAAGATCTCAGCATTTGTTGCCTCTGTTCGGCAAGGACAGGGAGGACTTAGTGCTTTCTGCAGTTTTGTATATGTTTGAAATATTTCATAATTTTAAAACAGCAAGACTGTTGCTGTGACCTTAAGTCAGCTGCTGGCAGGAGCAGTGGAAAGAGCGTTTCAGGAATGCAGGAACCAGCTCCTGCGGGCAGGCAGGGCTGGGGATACACAGCTTTCCTGAGGAGGGCCTCGTTTCCATCAGCATAGTCTGGAGCAGGAGGGGAGACTGAAGCTTGTGTGTAGGCAGCAGGCTGCGGGGGGGACATTAGTCCCTTACCAGGAAGGACCCTTGCTCTCTGCTCTTGGGGACTCACTGCAGCCATGGCCCTGGCATCTGGCCCTGCCACATGGCCCAAGACAGCTGAAGGGATGCGGGGATCCTGTTAGTGACCTGGGAACACGGGAGGGAGGCCTCTTGGCAAGGACAAGGAGAGAGGCTTGCAGACCCCACTCCCTGGAATGGATGCCAGAGGGCACAGCCCCCAGCGCTGTCACCAGCCTCCCTCCTTATCTGAGTCTTAGCCTCCTGCCATCTCTAGCAAGGCCGGGAAAGGAAAGGTTTCTGGCTCCAGCTATTGGAAGAATGCGTGCGCAGCCCTCAGCCCCTCTGCAGCCAGGCAGCCTCAGCGGCCAACTGAGGAGTGTCGCTGAAACGACTTCCCTGAGCAACTCGGTGGATTCGCAGGAGAAAGAAGCCTCCCTACCCCTCAGGGCTCTCACATAGAACCCTCCTGGCCTAGCAAAATTGGATGCACCTGTGTGGCCTGGTGACTGCATGTGATTGACTGAAATCCTTTTCAAATTGTTTGTTCTGTCTGGCTTAGAAAACAAAACTAATCAGACTTGCCCCATAAACTGAAACCTAAGACTGGGACCAAGCTGGCAGGATTTTTTAATGTTTTCTTTTCTTTTATTTTCTTTTTTTAAGACACTGGAGTCTCACTCTGTTGCCCAGGCTGGAGTGAAGTGGCCTGATCTTGGCTCACTGCAGTCTCTGTTTCCCAAGTTCAAGCAATTCTCCTGCCTTAGCCTCCTCAGTAGCTGGGATTACAGGCGTGTGCCACACACCCAGCTAATTTTTGTATTTTTGTAGAGACAGGATTTCACCATGTTGCCCAGGCTGGTCTCGAACTCCTGGTCTCAAGTGAACCACCACAACCAACCAAATGTTTGGGTTTTGAATTCAAATCTAGAAACTTCTTCCTTTCACCCTGAGAGCCCCCCGCCTCCCCATAGGTCCACATCAGCCTATCTGGTAGTATGAGGGCTAAAGCTAGAGGGGAGGGGCCTGGCTTTTTGGGCTATTGGACAGGATGTTGGGGACAGAGGGCAGCGCTTCCAGAACAGCAGCTGAGGATCTCTCCACGCCTCCCTCACTGGTCCTTTAGTTAGTGGAGGTTGATAAGAAGCCAACAGCTCTGCCCTGGGCTGGCCCAAGGTGTTGCCTGATAACCTGCAGGATTGAAGAACCAAGAGGTTGCTCCCCGACGGGGCTTCTCCCCTCCAGAAGCTCAGCTTTTCTCACCATGGCTCATGTGCCTGGAGCCTGTGTCCACTCCAGGACACAGGTCTGGCTTCCTCTGTGCCCCCCCCCCCATGTGCCCTCTTCAGGCCTCGAGATCTGTCCCTTTTTTGCAGGCAGCAGTGGGATGTCTGCCCTCAGGGAGTGGCAGATCGGGCTATGCCTCTTCAGCAATACACACGTCAAACCCACTCTGGCAAATCCCGAATCCCTGGCCTGGCCACTCTGGGCTTCGTGCATGCATGTTTTCAGACTTCCAATAGGGGGGACAGGGGGCTGACAGGAGCCTCCTGGGCTGCAGGGCCTACCTCCCCAAGCCCAGGCAGGCGCAGTGTGTGTCCCGAGATGAGCTGTGCTCTGCTTGCCAGAGCTGTCACCTCTGAGCTCAGCAGCCGGGACCCGCTGGGCAGGGCCAGAGCAGGCGGAGTGCTGCAGATGCCGGGAGGGATGGGCATCTGGAGACAGGCGTGGGCTAGGAGCGGGACGGCTTTCTCTCTGGCTGTCTCGTAGGATTTAAGGGAACACTATGGAATGAGAAGGGATGTAGGGTCTGGGGTGAGAAAATGTCTCTGACAGCTGGACGTAGCCTCTGCCCAAGGTGTCCTTTTTAAACCTATGGAAAGGGAGGCAGGGTTTGTGGGGGCCCAGCCTCTACAGCACTCCCTGGCCCTGACCCGGCCCCTTCTCTGCAGGAGAAGGCTTCTCTTTCAAATACAGCCCGGGGAAGCTGAGGGGAAACCAGTACAAGAAGATGATGACCAAAGAAGAGCTGGAGGAGGAGCAGAGGTAGGCTGCAGCCCCTTCGCGGGCGCCGGGCGGGCTCCCAGGGCTGGGGGTGCCCTTCTGAGCCCTTCGTGCTCCTGCCGCTTGGCAGAAGGGCCCAGAAAGGAGGTGGGGCTCCTACAGTAAGGTCCGCCCAACCACCGCCCCACCTTCCCAGTTTAGGGGTTCTTTCTTGCCCTGGTCAGCCAGGCTCGCATGCCCCTGGAACCCCTCCCTAAAACCAGGAGGAGGCCACTGGTGATGGGGAACATAGCCCATTTACTGCATCCCACACCCCTCCACACCCCACTGCCCTCATCTAAAAAAATGAGATGCCAGGAAAGAGCCTGGAGCAGACCCAGCTGTCACTCACACACAGAGTCCCCAGCAGAGCTGACTTCTCAGCTTCTCCTTCGGGACACAGCAGATTCCTGGTGTTCATCATTCAGTGGCCTCCCAGGCTGGCACCTGCAGCAGCGCCTTGTAGCTCCAGGCGGTGCGGCTGTGGCTTCTCATTGGAATTGGGCTCCCCCTTCCCATCTGGACATCTCCTGCACAGCCACTGGGCACTGGGTGGGAAGGGGTGCGCTGGGCGCAGTGGGGAAGCTGGAGACGCCTCGGCAGAGGCACAGTGACATGCACCAGGCCCAGCAGGCTCCTGGCACTCACCCACACTGCTGCCCTTCTGCAGCATGGCCTGGAGTCCTTTGTTTAAGGCAGAAGTCTAGGTGGTGGTTGTGCCATTTTCCAAGCCTGGCAACCCCGAGCAGCTCATGGGAATCCCCCCTACTCATCAGCAGAGGCCAGTAGTCTAGGGTCCCAGCGGAGGGGGAGGTTTATGATTTCCGAATCAGAACTCAACCGCCCTTTCATGACTTCGTGCCAGACCAGCCAGCAGGCGGCCCTCTAGCCTCAGAGCTGCTCTGCCTGTGACAGGCCCTGTCTCCCCACCCAGTGCTGGCATCAGCTCTCTCGACCCTCAGCAGGAAAGTGCTTCTCCCTGGGTGGGCAGGGGCGGCAGTGTAATCACAGCCAGGAGGAAGACCCTGGCAGGAGCCCTGGTTCCTCAGGTGCTAAGGATGCTGCCTCTTGGCATGACCAGGTTTGCTGCATTTATATTTCAGGATTGAGCTGACCTCTGACCTCACTTCCCTGTAGCAAGTTCCTTAGGTCCTGAGCCACACATATTCTTGCAAATCCTTTTGGTAAGGACACTGATTTCTTAGACTAGCAGTGCTCCCCTCCTACTGTGTGCTAACATGCCCCCAACACAACTGACGCGGCCTCAACCTCCCCTCCTCCATCGCCTTCATAACCAATTCGTACGTTTCCCACGTGTGCCCTCCTCATTCTTCTCAAGCACCAGGAATCACTGGCAGAAAAGGCCCCGTCTGGGAGCAGAGGTTCTTGGAGGGGCGTTAAGTCTCTGAGTTCCTGGAGGGGCCTAATGGGCCAGCAGGTTGGGGCACTAGTGCCCCTCGGAGGCTGGGGGCTCTGTCGCTCTGGGACCTCAGGCTTCAGGAATGTGGATGTCATCACCCTGTGGCCTTGTCAGGTCTGACCCTGAGAAGGTGAGGCAGCTTCTGCACAGTGCCCAGCAGACACCCTGACAGCGGTCTGTGCTCCCAAGCTGTGGGACAGGCAGGTTCTTAGGATCAGGGCAAGGGTTGGCAGACAACGGCCGGGCCACACCTGATCCCCTGCCCGGCTGTGTCAACTCAGCATGGCAGGAACAGCAACGACACCACACTCACCTATTTTCCTGTGGTCTGTGCCCCTTCGCGCCACAGTGACTGCGGTGAGTCACTGCAGCAGAGACCACACTGCCTTCCCAAATCTAAATAGTATCTGGCCCTTTGAAGAAAAAGGTTTCGGTCCCTGGACACACCTGCCAGCCTTGAAGATCCCTGGGGACAGAGGTTGCTCAAGCAGATGGATCTGGAGGGCCTCTTAGAACAGGAAAGAACAGGCCTCAGGCTGGGGGTGAACGGCCACTGCCACCCACTTCCAGAGCTGGGACCTTGGCAGTGGGGAGGGAAAATCCCTTCCCCTTAGAGAGTAGACCCTCTGTTATCCATCCTTCCCCACTGGATCTTCGGAGGTCTCTAGACCACCAAACCACCCTTGGGTGTTCTGTGGGATGGAGGCTGTGCCCAAGGTGCTGCTCTTGGGATGAGGGAAGAGTCCCTGACTCTGCATGCTGCAGTTACCACCTGGTGCCCCGAATTGAGAGGAGGGGCTGGAGGACTTCATGGGGCGGGACCGGAGTTCACGTTCATTCCCATCACTGCTCAGCCCGCATGCTCCCTGTGGCACCCAGGCATGCTGGCGGCATCTGCTTGCTACCCCCCACCTCTGCCCCCTGCACGTGGTCACCCCTCGCGGCACTGCGTGGGATCCCCGCAGCACCACACCACACTGTCCTCACATGGTGATGCTTGGGGTTGCAGAGACTGGTCAGTTCGGCTTTGGCTTTTCATCTTCAGCACAGGGGTTCCCATGGTGGTGGGGAGCGCTGGCAGCTGTAAGACAGTTCCAGTCCCAGTGAGTCCAGGGAACCGCCCTAGAATCATCAGTATAAAAATAACATGCATGTTATTATCAAATCACTAAAACCACAGGCCAGCTAGCAGCGTGCTCTCTCTCCGCCTGTCAGGTTCTGCGCCCCAGGCTCTGTGCCTCTGATTTCTTTCCCGGCTCTCAGGGTCCACAGTCAAGTTGCAGCTAAATGCTGCATGTCCCCTACCTGTAAATTCACTAGCTCAGCCAACAGACCTGCAGCGAGAACTGGAAGCTTTGGTGGTTGCTGGTTCCCGCACTCCCCAGGGGCCTCAGCTCACAGGCTTTGATGACAATTAGGAAGTGGGACTGGAAGCAGGAGGCCCCAAATTAGTTCCCCTGACATACTGAACTGGGCAGTCTCATCCTTGAACTACTCACTGATCAAATTCCTTCTGCCTGGGGACAGAAAGTGGTCAGGTCCGTACATCAGAGGTAGCTGCTGCTAAGATCCTACTTCCTGCCTCAGCTGTCCCCTCAGGCTGGGCATTCATATGCTTCATGCCTCTGGGGGCGTCCCTGGGTTCTGCTGAAGCTGCTGTGGGAGGTGCCACCTCCAGTTGCAGAGTGTGGCTATGACAGTGGCCTTGCAGGCTGGTGACAGCTTCCCAGAGCAAGAGGCCTCCTCCTCCACCCCAGAGCTAGGGAAGCTGACAGGGCTTGGCTAACTTAGCAGCTTGGCAGGAAAAAAAAAGGCATGGCTAGGCTGAGCGCCGTGGCTCACGCTTGTAGTCCCAGCACTTTGGGAGGCCAAGGGGAGTGGATCATGAGGTCAGGAGATCGAGACCATCCTGGCTAACACAGTGAAACCCCGTCTCTACTAAAAATACAAGCAATTAGCCAGACATGGTGGCATGCGCCTGTAGTCCCAGATACTCTGGAGGCTGAGGTAGGAGAATGGCTTGAACCTGGGAGGTGGAGGTTGCAGTGAGCCAAGATTGTCCGGCCACTGCACTCCAGCCTAGGTGACATAGTGAGACTCCATCTCAAAAAAAAAAAAAATGCGGGGCCAGGTGCAGTGGCTCATGCCTGTAATCCCAGCACTTTGTGAGGCCAAGGAGTTCGATATCAGCCTGACCAATATGATGAAACCCCGTCTCTACTAAAAATACAAAATTAGCTGGGTATGGTGACACATGCCTATAATCCTAGCTACTTGGGAGGCAGAGGCAGGAGAATCATTTGAACCCAGGAGGTGGAGGTTGCGGTGAGCCAAGTTTGCACCATTGCACTCCAGCCTGGGCAACAAGAGCGAAACACTGTCAAAAAAAAAAGAAAAGAAAAGGCACATCTGTCAGCTCCTCTCCATCACTTCTTCCCACCTTCTGGTCTCAGACGGAAAACAGAACCCAGCCTGTAGACTAGGCTGGCTCTGATAGATCAGGATCCATCCCTCCATTTGAGGTCTGCAGGGCTGTCTTGACTCCTCTGGAAATGGACATGACTCCAGAGGAAGGTGTTCGGCAGGGCGTGGTAAAACAAGGAAGGTGGAGGAGGCGGAGGCCAAGGAACCATAGCTCAGGCTGGAAATGCATGCGGGACTGTAACCACCAGGAGAGGGCGCCAGAGGGACAAGATCAGACTGCTTCGTTCTCTGCGGTCCCAGGGCTCGAAATGTGTCTTGGTTCATAAAAATGGGCACACCATTGTTTCCATCTGGAAGCACGTCCTAGGGTGCCAGTATCCCGCGAGGGGATGAAACTCAGCCAGCAGGAATGGAAAATTATCTAGGGTGATAGGAATATTGTCAGCACAACCACAAAGATCAGAAAGGCCCCAGTTCCTTTCTTAAGTACCCTGCAGAGGCTGAACGGGGTCTGTAGGCTGGCAGGTTCCATGCGGGATCAAGGAGAGCTCTGCAAGCTCTGGCCAGCTCTGCGGCACAGACTTTCTTGCTGCAAGCGATGAGAAGCAAATCAGCAGGGTTCTGAGAAACCAGAGTCTAGCGCAGCTTCTGCAATTCCAAACATTCTCCTTCCTTGTCCCCATTTCTCCCTTTCCTCGCCCATGGTACGTGTAGGATGGAATGAGTGAAATAAATTATCTTTTTCTCCCCATTTCTCTTTACAGAACTGAAGAATAACGAAGTTATCCTTAGCGTCCTCCTAAAGCCTTTTCCTTTTGGCATCTTAAAAGCTTGAGATAAAATGGAACCCCCAGAGAGGAGTCTGGGCAGGCTCCCAGGGTGCCTGCAGCCTCCATAAATCTGCTGAGCTCTAGACCCTCAATCAGGACTTGGCCCTGGGCTAGCAGGATCCCAGGAACACCTTTGGCCCTGCCCTGTGGAGAGATGTTCATGTCCATTTCTGTGGGTCACTTTGTTAAGCTGAAGGGTTTTAAGAGTTTGAGCTCAAACCTTGGACTTGGATCTTTCTTACCACCCAAACTTGCTGTCCACACACCCTGCACACCTTAGATAAAATGAACACTTTAAAAGCAGAGTACACTTTCACTCCAGTCCCCTCCATTGCCCTCACTGAAGCCAAACCACAGAAGACTTTGAGGAATGAGAGACAAATGAGGTAGAGCTCACCTGTGCTCACCAGCTCTGTCAGCGTGGTCAGCCGGCCCCTTTCCCTGGGAACCCCACTTCTCTCTCTAGCTGGCTTGGTGGTTGGGGGTGAGATGCCATATTGATTACAGGGCAGTGAAGAACCAGTACCAGGTATTGACTTGATGACTGCCCTTATTTTTCATCCAGAGGAATCTTGGATTCAGCCCTTTTATTGCTAAGACACCTTTTCAATGACGTTCTGACCAGCTCAGCCAAATCTTCACTCTGCTACAGCAGAAGCAATAATGTTTGCTTTAAAAAGATTTCTTGACTATGCCTTTTCTTAGAAAGTTTGGTAGATTAGTTAGAACTTCAGATCATCAGACCAGTCTCAGATTTGTTTCTTGGAATTTTATATTTGACAATATTTATACTATACAAGCTAATTTGCAGTTCTTAGGTTTGTAGGTTAAAACATTTTTTTTTAAAGCAGTAGGTTTATAGAAAATTTGTTCATTTAATGGAAGGCTGGGGAATGTCCAGCATCAATCCCGATGGCATGCATTTCCGGTGGCCTTCTCATCTGGGCCTGAAACCTTAGATTCAGGGTTTAGGGGAGAACAGGCCACACGGCAACAACCACACAGTCATTGCCTTCAACACAGCTCCACGTGATGAACAGATGTACTCTTGTGTTCCCAGACAGCAACAGTCAGGTCCTTGGCCAGGCGGGGATCTAACTGATACAATAGGTCATTGACTCCCTCCCAGTAGAGCTATATAGGTTTGTCTGGAAACTCTGACCATGGCTTGTAGGTGCCACACCTCATGTACTCCTGATGGCTTGGATCTCTGTATTCAGCCTTTGTTCAGTCCAATAAACTTTGAGTAGATGATCTCAATTACTGTGTGTTTTTTGTTTGTTTTAAAAACAAATCCCTTTTGAATCCATTACAGTTTGACCTCCCTTTCATTTTGATGCCTTGTACTCTGCAGCAGAGCACAGTCATACATCTACCCTGTTAAAAATATGCAGTCACCACAGTTGTCAAAACCACATGACATGATCTGTGTTCACTCATGGACATATGGATTGTGCTTCCATCCACGGAACTCAGCACACATTTCTGTTCACAGGAATCCCTTTCTTTCTTTTTTTGAGACAGGGTTTCTCTCTGTTGCCCAAGCTGGAGTGCAGGGGTGCAGTCACAGCTCACTGTGGCCTTGACCTCCTGGGCTTAAGTGATCCTCCTGTCTCAGCCTCCCAGGTAGCTGGGACTACAGGAGCTCACCACCACACCTGGCTAATTGTTTTGCAGAGACAGGATCTGACTGTGTTGCCCAGGCTGGTCTCAAACTCCTGGACTCAAGTGATCTTCCCACCTTGGCCTCCTAAAGTGCTAGGATTATAGGCGTGAGCTGCTGCACCTGACCCTCTTCCTACAGTAGGGCATAAAGCACACATCATAGGCTGCTGCTTCTCCAGATGGGAACTGATTATAGACACAACTTTCCCAGGGGACAAGGGAATCTGGGAAGGGAGACTTTCGTATTTTAACTACTACATGCTGCTCTAGACAGAAAACTTTGCGGGATGGAAGATGCAGGGCTGGAGAGAGGAGGGAAGGGTGAAGCAGAAGGAATGTGGTAGGAAAAGTATGGGAGCAAACATGGAGACCACACCTCCAGGCAGTGCCAGGGGCCCAGAGCTCTGCTGAGCCTTGCAGCTGCAGGACCTGTAATGTGCTTACGGCCGACCCAGCTGCAGGGTGGGATGAGAGGGCTGACGCCGCGCTGTGGTTTAGGTTCTCTGAAGGCACTAAGCTGTGGTGTGGTGTGGAGGGCAGGAACTGCAGAAACCAGAAGAGTGAGATGCAGCAGGATGTGGTGCCCAGCAGGCAGTGCCAAGGGCACCAGAGCAGAACAACATATGGCTCCCTGGGTTTGGCGGTGGCCTTACCCCACCCTGAGGTGTTTGTGGCAGTTGTCCTGTGTTGGTCAGATGGTGTAGCTGAGCCTCATAAAGATAACAAGACATTGCTCCCAGCACAAGCCAGTGGGAAGCAAACATTAGATTAGAGCCAGTCTTCCTCTACACCCATTCCATGGTAAAAAAGGGGCAGGGCTGCCGCCTGCCAGAGGGTGTCCTTGTGCAAATTAGGAAATGGCGTCCCCCTTCCTCTGGGCAGTGAAACCCCACAGGCTGCCCTCCCCGCTCCTTTGCCAAGCACCGCCTTGCACACATCTGTATTCTCCCCGGCTTCCCAGCTGATTATGCTTTTTCTTTCTCCATTTCTGCTCATCCCTCTCAATGAACACTGTTTCTAAGCTGCTTCAGAGCACTACCTCCAGCCGCTTCACGGAGCCCATCTTCCTCACTGCATCACTGTGGGATGTGCAGTCAATAATCAGATGAGGCTCAACGGGAAACTGAGGCACAGCTTACCTAAGTGATACCTGGGTCCCCCAACCTCCCCTGCAAACCTGAGATTTAGAATTCCAGTTTTTAGAGCCCTCTAAAGTTGAGTGTGTCAGACCCAACCAGCTCCTATGTTCTAAGTGGGTTTTGTTTATTTTCATTTTCTCGTTCTGAAAAGCAACCGCTGTAACACAGGAGGGAGGAGAGTCCCAAATCCGCTGGCTGCACACAGGCTCTCTCTCTCTCTCTCCAGTGGGTTAGGAGCACTTTCTTCCTCTTTGTCCTTTCTTCTCAACAGAGTTCAGAAGGAACAGCTGGCTGCCATCTTCAAGCTCATGAAAGATAACAAGGAAACGTTTGGCGAGATGTCGGACGGCGACATGCAGGAGCAGCTCCGGCTCTACGACATGTAGCTGCATCCACGGGATGCCCACGGCGGCCGTGCCCCACGCCCTTGTCCTTCCCAGACTTCTGTAGGCCTAATTTTCCCTTATAAACATAGATGCAGGCGTACATTCTATACGGACTTGCCCAGTTCTTGCCATGTATATGTTACTTTACAGGAATCAAAATTGTTTTCTTCAGAGGAGAAAGTCCCTGATCCCTCTGGCTTCTGCTTGCTGGTGAGGTTCTGGCTGTTATGGGGCTCTGAGGCCCTCCTGATCCAATTTTTTTTTTTTTTTTTGAGATGGAGTCTCACTCTGTCATCCAGGCTGGAGTGCAGTGGCGCAGTCTTGGCTCACTGCAACCTCCGCCTCCCAGGTTCAAGCCATTCTCCTGCCTCAGCCTCCTGAGCAGCTGGGATTACAGGCATGAGGCATCACACCCAGCTAATTTTTGTATTTTTCATAGAGATGGGATTTCACCATGTTGGCCAGGCTGATCTCCAACTTCCGACCTCAGGTCATCCACTCGCCTTTGCCTCCCAAAGAGGTTGGGATTACAGGCGTGAGCCACCACACCTGGCCAACACTACACTCTTATTCTGCCTTGTGGGGATTTCTGGAAGTTTCTGTAACTGTAGGGAAGCAAGATGTTGGGGAGCATTATTGTTTTGCTTTGTGTTTTTAGAGGCAGGGTCTCACTCTGTCACCCAGGCTGGAGTGCAGTAGTGCCATCATGGCTCACGGCAACCTTGACCTCCCAGGCTCACAGAATCCTTCTGCCTCAGCCTAAGTAATTGGGACTACAGGTGTGTGCCATGACACCCAGCTAAAGGGGAGCATTCTTTTATTTTACTTTATTTTTTGAGACAGTCTTACTCTGTCGCCCAGGCTGGAGTGCAGGGGCACAATCACTGCAACCTTCACCTTATGGGTTCAAGTGATTCTCCTGCCTGAGCATCCTGAGTACCTGGGATTACAGGCATGCACCACCACACCCGGCTAATTTTTGTATTTTTAGAAGAGACAGGTTTTTGCAATGTTGGCCAGGCTGGTCTCAAACTCCTGACCTCAGGTGATCCACCCACCTTGGCCTCCCAAAGGGCTGGGGTTACAGGTGTGAGCCACCTTGCCCAGCCAGGAGCATTCTTTTAGCAAAAAGCCGAATTCAGAGACTCATCTTTTATCCTGGCACAAAATGATGGTACTAGAGGTAAGATCTGCCAAGAATCTCTCTCACTTAAGCAGGCTACTTACTTTAAATATAATTAGGCAAGACTTTTTTGATTACTTGCCTAATTATATTTCATTAGAACTACGCTAGACACTGTAGACAGAAGAAATAAAATAGACGACCTGGTCCCTACCTTTCAGCAGGTTAAAGGCTTTTAGAGAAGAAAGCCTGTGTGCAGGGAAAGAGAACCTCACCAGAAAGCATTCAATAAAATGCCAAAGGGATCTCAAAGAGCAGTGCCTGGGACAGCAGAGGCAATTGTTCTGTCTTTGTGAGTGAACATACAATGATGGGGACAATTGTCCTTCCTGCCATGCAGGTCCCATTTCTGATCACCCCACTGGCAGGACAATTCACAGATCTTGAGCAAACTGAGTATGGAAGGGTATGCTAAAGACAGAGCCTATGCAAGTTCTTATTTTTTGTTTGCTGAAATAAAGTTCAGTCAACACACCACCTTAAAAAAAAGTGGAGCAGTGACATTTTCATGCCTCATGCTCACCATCATGAGGTTAACGTCCTGCCATCGCCTCTGCTTACCAGGGGTTTTTCGGGAGCCCCTCCCTGTTCCACTCTGTGATTGCTTTTGCTTCTTTGCAGACCATTCACTCTCTGTGTCTGTTGTTGGATCTAAATACGAGTGTTTTTCTTTTTGTTGTCAATGCTTTTTTCCTTCTTAAAATTGTTTTACTCTGTTTAGTCAGAAGCATATAGCCATGTGATGATTGAAGAATTCTTTGTTCACTTGAGGTCAAGAGTTTGAGACCAGCCTGGCCAACATGGTGAAACCTTGTCTCTACTAAAAATACAAAAATTAGCTGGCCATGGTGGTGCATGCCTATAATCCCAGCTACTGGGGAGACTGAGGCAGAAGAATCGCTTGAACCCAGAAGGCGAAGATTGCAGTCAGCCGAGATCACGACATCGCAGTCCAGCCTGGGTGACAAAGCAAGATTCTGTCTCAAAATAAAACAAAAAAAAATTATTTGTTCTCCGTCTCAGGTCCTAGGGACCCTTACATCAGCTAATCTGTCTGTCCCCCGCTAAATGCACGTCGGTGGGCAGGGAAAACTCATAGGTGCCCTTATCCCTCCCAAGGCTGCTCTGCAAAGCTCCTGTGGCTCCATTGCCCACTTTCTCCTTCCTCTTCTTTCTTTCTTTTTTTTTTTTTTGTTTTTTTTTTGAGACGGAGTTTCGCTCTTGTTACCCAGGCTGGAGTGCAGTGGCGCTACCTCGGCTCACCGCAATCTCCACCTCCTGGGTTCAGGCAATTCTCCTGCCACAGCCTCCCGAGCAGCTGGGATTACAGGCATGCACCACCATGCCCAGCTAATTTTTTGTATCTTTCTTTAGTAGAGACGGGGTTTCACCATGTTGACCAGGATGGTCTTGATCTTTTGACCTTGTGATCCACCCGCCTCGGCCTCCCAAAGTGCTGGGATTACAGGCTTGAGCCACCGCGCCTGGCCTCCTTCCTCTTCTTTCTTTTCTGTGTTCTTTTCTGATTATACCAAACAGGAACGACTCGTGTACTTGAGTCCAAATCCTCATGGCTATGGGAAAAGTAAACTGAAGGAACTTTTGTATACTTGTCCCAGCTAAGATATTCTGACTGCAATGAACAGAAAACTCTGACTCAGCTGGCTTAAACGAGAGCAGGGCTCTTTCACATGAGAGGCCAAAAGTTAGAACAGCTCCAGACCCAGAATAGTCAGGACTCAAGCTGCAGTTCTCTTAGTTCAGTCTTCCTCCTGTTATTGGCTTTCATTGGAGACTAGCACTCCTCATGGTGGCCAGATGGCTGCAGTTCAGGTATCTCATCCAGAAGCAAGAAAAGGGCATCTCTTGCTTGCGTCTCTAGGCGTGAGAGAACTGGTTCAGATGTTCCTGCCTCACATCTCTTCAGATCCCAATTGGCCAGAATATGGCATGTGCCCATGTTTCAGTCAGGCAAGGAGATGGGACCACCATGAGGGGCCTAGACCCCTAGAGCCTGGGGCTGGGTCCAGCATCTCCTGAAGACATGGCCATCTGGAGGAGAAGGTTACTGAATTTCACTGGGGATCTGTGATAAAAGGGAGCATGGGTGTTGGAGAGACACCTGCACTGCCTGAGTTTCCTATGAGGTCCAGGGCAGGGCTTGATGGGCACTCAGAAGCCAGTGTCTGAAGTGCTCAGCATCCTCCTTTTCCTTGGTGGTGGGTGTCCACTGCCCAGGCCCCAGCCCTGGCCTTGGACACTTCATGGAAACACTGCTGGCTTGCTCCAGTGTTGGGTAGCTATCTATTCCCCATAAGTGCTGGCCTCTGTTGACACCATTTCTGCCACCTCATCTGAGATTGCTCTCGTCAGCTCACAGATACTCAGTTCAGTGAATGAACCAAATCTAAGCCAAAAAGCATAAAGGAGGGCAGAAAGAAACAGCAGGGTGGGAGAAGGATCGCAAACACCAAGGGAAAGGCGTCTACATGGCAGGCATAGCTGAGCATCACCAGTATGTATGTCACTTCCACCAAGAACCTAGAGCCACAGAGGCCTACAGAAGCCAATCCCAATGGAACTCTCTCTGGGTGTGGAGGTTGAGAGAAGCTAAAACACTCAGGTGCACAGAACCTCTTTCCAGCGATGGGAACCAGTCCCAAAGCCTTTGCATCTCCCCTGCTCTCCCTCCATCACTCTCCTGAGGACCCTGCCCAGGCTGGCCTGCCTACATGACACAAATAGCAGTGGCCTGTCACTCATCAGTAGCTGCGGTTCTGTTTACCAAGCCTGCCTGCTAAAGACTTTTCAGGGCCTCCTTCCCTCCAAGTGTCCGTTGCACCTCCATCCAGATAAATTAGCTGGCTCCCCACTTCCTGGACCAACAGTAACCACCTTTTCCAATGACCCTGAAGAAAACATTCAATCTAAGCTGCTTTATGAGTAACCAACAACTGAGGACAAATTTTCTATAAACTCCCAGTACCCCTCTCTGCCGTGGATTATTTATTATTGGTTTTCAATTTTTTTTTTTTGAGATGGAGTTTTGCTCTTGTCTCCCAGGCTGGAGTGCAATGGCGTGATCTCAGCTCACTGCAACTTCCGCCTCCCAGGTTCAAGCGATTCTCCTGCCTCAGCCTCCCAAGTAGCTGGGATTATAGGTGCCCACCACCATGCCCAGATAATTTTTGTATTTTTGTTAGAGACGGGGTTTCACTCTGATGGCCAGGCTGGTCTCAAACTCCTGAACTCAGGCCTCCCAAAGTGCTGGGATTACAGGTGTGAGCCACTGCGCCGGCCTTCAATGTTTTTTTAATTTGAAGATGTAAATAATTATACTAAAACCAGATAACTCTAAGATTGTTTTATTCTAATTTGTCCTAAGGACCTGCCTGTACTTAGAGCCTGATACAAAGCCCAAGTTTATCCACTGGGCAGCTCTCTAGCTGGGAAGGAAGAGCACACGACAAAACTTCAACAGTCTGCATGGCTAGGTCGAGGCAGACCAGGCCTCACGATTTCGGAAGGCAACAGCATCGTTCACATGGAATCAAGCTGCTGAAGAACAGGCGAGAGGCTCTGCCTCCCAATCACATCTGCAGGGTCACCTGGGCATGGTGGAGGCCCACAGTCATCCATTAGGCCCCAGTATCCTATGTGGGAGTATCCATGTCTAATCTCTACTTTTTTTTTTTTTTTGAGACAGAGTCTCACTCTGTCGCCCAGGCTGGAGTACAGTGCCATGACCTCAGCTCACTACAACCTCCACCTCCCTGATTCAAGCAATTCTCTTGCCTCAGCCTCCCAAGTAGCTGAGATTATAGGAACACGCCATCACGTCTAATTTTTTTGTATTTTTAGTAGAGACGGGGTTTCACCACGTTGGCCAGACTGGTGGTCTCAAACTCTTGACCTCAGGCAATCAGCCCATTTTGACCTCCCAAAGTTCTGGGATTACAGAGGTAAGACACTGCGCCAGGCCTTAGTCTCTACTTCTCACTGCAGAAGTGGCAGGTGAGGAGGTTTCCTACTTTAGAGGAGGTAGAAGTTATTTCCTTTCTTCTCTCCTCACAGTCTTGAGGGGGAGGTTTACCCAGCCTGACAGCAAATGCCTTGCCCAAGATTACCTCCTGTTCTGGGGTGGCCTACCTCCAAACCAAGTCACTATTGGGGTACAAAGGCCTGCCTTGTCTGCCAAAAGGACAGTGCTGATGGACCATTCCAGTCTAGAGTTCCCAAAGAGACATCTTTTTGGAAAGGGGCAGGGTACCAGAAATCCTTTGCCAGGCTATGGCATGGCCTCCAGTCTATATAAGTAACTTGAGACCCACCCACCCAGCCAAGTATGTATGCCTTTCTGGGTCCACTGCTGGGTTTCAGAACAGAAAGCCTTGCAAATTCCTATTACCACAATTTTTTTTTTTAACTATTATTATTGTCACCTTATTTTTCTTCTGGTGGAACTTCTTTAGGGCTTCTACCAGATTCTCCACCATTTTATGCTAACATTTTTTATCAGTTTTGGTTTTATCATTTCAGTGCTTCTTTTTGCTAAAGGTAGCAACCTATATCACATCATCTCTGGAGACAGACCACGCCATAGAAAATATTGTCGTTTTCATTTTTCTTAATACCACAGAGTCAGCTGGGTACCAGCCCGAATGTACCAGCTTGCTCAGTCATTTCCCCCTCATGGACATCTGCATGGTTTCCAGTCTCGCAAATTCAAATAATGCCGCTACACATAAAACTTTGTGCGTAGGTTGTTTCATATTTGTCCAAGTTTACTTTCAGGATAGATTTTAGAGGTGGACTTCGGGTCAAAGGTAAATTTGCACTCCCCCCTCCCCAGCAATGCAGGACAGATCCGGTTCCTGTATTGTCCTTAACTGCGTACCTTGTTAAACTTTTGGATTTTTGACAACCTAATGGAACAGAAGCGTTAGCTCAGTGAGGTTTTCATTTGAACTCTTCTGATTATGAAAAAGGCTGAGCACACGCTTAAATGTTTAGGAGCCTCTTGCATTTTTTTTTCTGTAAAGTGTCCATTCATGTCCCATTTTCTACTGAATACCATCCATTTAATCTCCGCTTTTGTTCACTGAGTTGCACACATTTCCGACGATCATGGTTGGGCTCAGCGCGGTGGTTCTCCAACCCCGACCCTGCAAGGGGAGGGGGTGCCTTAACTAAGGTAACGAAAGGAAATCTGAGTCATTCCAGGGAAAGCCTACTAAAATCAGGAGGCTTTGTGAGAGCCAAAATACTAACTTTCAAAACACGAAAACATCCCCAAACCGCACCAGCAGCACTTCTACTTACGCGTTAATTATAGCTACTGTGACCGATTTATCAACTGCGAGGAACCAACGCACGGAGAAAACCACCCACCCGCGAACTGAACCAATCACTGCCAGAGCGCCGATATCCCTCTGCGGGGCTTCAGTGGTTCAAGCACCTGCCAATCTGCCGCGAGGCCAAAGGCCTTGATTGCTATTGGGTATGACATCCTTTCATCTCCCCCACCTCAAGCCCGCCTCTCTCCGAGGGTGGAAAGCCCCGGATGTCCGGCCACACCCAAGGTCTAGTTTCCTCAGTGATTGACAAGGGCCATCGTCCACTGAAGAATGCGGCTTGGTCCAGTCTGCCCTGCGGGAGGCACGCACCCGGCGCCTCAGCCGGAGGAGTTGTCGGGTACCTGTGGTGCCGCGTGTGTTAAGGCCGCCATGCTTGGGTCCCTGCCGGCCCGGAGAGCGGCCCACGGGCTGCCTAGGAGCCGGAACCGAGCGGAGCACGAGTGGGCGGGCCCGCAGCTGCCGCTGCTCTGCTCAAGCCGAGAGATTCGCCCCCGCAGTGAATCCCAGGCCGCGTAGGGCTGTGGCCTGGCGCGCGGTGCCGGCACCAGACTGGCTTCTGAGTGCCCCTCCCGGGACAGGGCCCCAGGTCCCGCATTGGCAAGGTGGGCCTAGGGGACCTTTTTTATTTTTGAGACGACGGAGTCTCTCGCCCTGTCGCCCAGTTGGAGTGCAGTGACGCGATCTCGGCCCACTGCAACCTCCGCCTCCCGGGTTCAAGCAATTCTCCCGTTTCAGCCTCCTGAGTAGCTAGAACTACAGGTGCGTGCCACCACGCCCGGCTAATTTTTGTATTTTTGGCAGAGACAGGGTTTCACAATGTTGGCCAGGCGATCAGGAACTTCTGACAGCAAGTGATCTGCCAGCCTCGGCCTCCCAAAGTGCTGGGATTACAGGCGTGAGCCACCGTGCCCGGCCTGGGGGATCATTTCATGAGCACCATAAACAGTCCTTGGGCCCCGAAGTGTGCCCTGGAATGCAAAGATGATTTGGAACCAGTTCCTGCCCTGCGGAACGCTGTAGTCTCCACTTTCCTCCGGCTGACGCTCCCAGACTTGCCCTCAGGCAGACTCGGAGGGTGGCCTGGGGTTTCAGATCGCGGTACTGCAGCTGGACCCAAGGCACACGCACACCCTTGCTTTTCGCAGTCCCCATGGTCCTAGGCCTAAGGTAAAAGCCAGCAGTTCCGTACACACCCAGCTCACATCCCACCGTGGTCTTCGGGACTGGGCTGACAGGCACACCTTCCCTCACCTGTGCTTGTCCTTTCAAGTCCTGCCCCAGGTACCAAAGCTGGGCTTTACCCCGGCCAGGTTGAGTGCATGTGGTGATCACATTGTTTGCTTTTCTCCATCCAACTGTGGCCCCTTGCAGTCTGCACGCCCCAGGTGGCCTCAACCAATCTGGAATCTTTGGGCCTGATGGCGGCCTGGGTCCTCTACAAGTGAAAATTCCTCAGACCAGGGTTGCTGAACCGTGTTAAATAACTCAGTCTGCAATCAGGGTTTTTGAAAGTCTCCCTTTTCTCACTCCTGTAAGTACTTTAATTACTTTTTGTGGCTCGCTAAGATGGGATAGGCTATGTTCTTAGGCTGTCAGACATTCAACCCCTTCAACGGTTTATCACATTCACCCCGGGACTGCCATAGGTGATGTCTTTGGTTCTCTTTGTACTCAGCTTCAATGATACTGCAAAGTTAAATTTCAAAAGAGGAAGCACCTGGCAAGGGGAATAAAATTAAGATAATTGTTCCAGGAAGATAAGGTTCAATGAAAGAAATGGGAGAAAGGGGCAGAGCACTAAAGATTCAAATTTGAATATTGAATGGTATGAATTGGCCCATTTATACCCTCAGGCATTTATTGAGCCTGTCTTCATGCAACACACTGTGCTAGATGACATCATGCAGAACGAACTCCACTTGGTTTCTACTTGCAAGGCAAGGTGACAGGAAGGTTCACTAACTTTCTAGGGTGCATGCCAAGTGCTGTGCAGAGCACTGTGCTATGTGTCTTGCAAATAAATGTTCTCTCATTAATCTTCACTACTCTCTGAAGGCTGTAGCATTCTTCTTTTACAGATGGAAGAAAATAAAACTCAAAGCATTCAATATGACTCAATAAATGAGCAAAAGTTCTCAATAGACGTTTTTCCAAAGAAGATATACAAATGGCCTGTAAGCACATGAAAAGATGCCCACCATGTCAATCAAAGGCAAATCAAAAACTGCAACAATGAGACACCACTTTACATTGAGAGAATGGCTGTTAAAAAAAAAAAGACATAATAACAAGTGATGGGGAAGTGGAGGAATTGGAACCCTCACACACTCTTCATGCAAATGTAAAACGGTGCAGCTGCTTTGGATAACTGGCAGTTTCTCCAGACATTAAAGTCTTGCTGAATGACTCAGTAATTCCATTCTTAGGTCTATACCTAAAAGAATATGTATATACTCTTAGGCGTATACCCATGAAAACATATGTCCACACAAAAATTTGTACACGGATGCTCAGAGCAGCATTATTCATGACGGCCAAAAAGTGGAAATAATAGATAAAAGGTGGCCAGGCGCAGTGGCTCACGCCTGTAATCCCAGCACTTTGGGAGGCCAAGATGGGCAGATCACCTGAGGTCTGGAGTTCAAGACCAGCCTGACCAACATGGCAAAACCCCATCCATCTCTACTTAAAAAAACAAAAACAAAAAACTAGCCAGGCATGGTGGCATGCGCCTGTAATTCCAGTTACTTGAGAGACTGAGGCAGGAGAATCACTTGAACCCAGGAGGCAGAGGTTACAGTGAGCCAAAATCATACTACTGCACTCCATCCTGGGTGACAGACCGAGACTGTCTCAAGAAAAAAAAAAAAAGCTAAAAAAATGGAAAGAACATCCATGAAATGGATGCATGGATAAACAAAATGTGATCTATCCACATAGATGGATAGATCCATCTTGTTACTGTACAACAGTAGCAAGGAATGAAGTACTGATACATTCTGCAGCACGGATGAACTCTGAAAACATCATGCTAAGAGGCAGAAGTCAGACACAAAGACCATGTAGTGAATGATCCCTTTCACATGAAATGTACAGAATAGCCAAATCTATAGAGACAGAAAGTAGAATTATGGTTGTCAGAGGCTGGGGGTGGGGTGGAGGGAAGAGCAGTAACTGCTCACGGGTACAGGAGTTTTTGGTGGAGGAGGACAGGTAATGAAAATGCTCCAAAATGATTAGAGTGATGGTTGCACACTCTGAATGTACAAAAAAACCCACTGAATTGTTCACTTTAAATAAGTGAATTGTGTAGTATGTGAATTATATCTCAATAAAGCATGTATATACATATGTATATACATTATATATATATATACATATATCATGTATATACATATGTATATACATTATATATATACACACACACATATATATACGTATATATATATATATACATATATACACATACACACACACACACACACACACACACACACACACACATATATATATGGCATTGAAGATAAAAGATCCCAGTCAGAAGGGCACCATGAGTACATAGTGGTCTCCCCTTGAGCCTTTTGTTTTGTGTTGGAAACAGAGTCTGTTTGGAAACAAAGTCTCGCTCTGTCACCAGGCTGGAGTGCAGTGGTGCCATCTCCCTCACTGCAACCTCTGCCTCCCAGGTTCAAGCGATTCTCCTGCCTCGGCCTCCCAGGTAGCTGGGATTACAGGCATGTGCCACCACACGTAGCTAACTTTTGTATTTTTTGTAAAATAGAGGTTTCACCATGTTGGCCAGACTGGTCTTGAACTCCTGACCACAAGTGATCCTTCCATGACCTCCCAAAGTGCTAGGATTACAGGTGTGAGTCATTGTACCCAGCCCCCTTTGGCCTCTTGAGAAGAATTTTATTTATGTTTTCATCTATAACCATGAGAGAAAAGAAGGCATGCCTTGAGTGTATAATGATAACAACTAATGCTTATTGTACACTGTGTCTGGCTCTGGGATGAAAACTCTATGTTCATCTTTTTGAGATGGAATCTCTCTCCGTCTCCCAGGCTGGAGTGTAGTGGTGCAACCTCTGTCTCATAGGGTTCAAGTGATTCTCATGCCTCTCCTCCTGAGTAGCTGGGATTACAGGCATGCCTGGCTAATTTTTGTATTTGTAGTAGAAACAGGGTTTCACCATGTTGGCCAGGCTGGTCTTGAACTCTTGACCTCAAGTGATCCGCCCAGCTCGGCCTCCCAAAGTGCTGGGATTACAGGCGCGAGCCACCAGACCCGGCTTAGAACTTTATGTTCTATGTAATTTAGTCCTTGTGAGAATCATGATATGTGGCAGGTTGGGTTCCCTGGAACCCAACTGAGGTGGAGATTGGCATGTAAGAGGTTTGTTAGGGGTGTTCCCAGATCAGGACCTGCAGGAAGAGGAGGAAAGGGAGAGGACTCAGCTCAGGAAGGAGGGAGAGGACTCAGCTCAGGAAGGAGGGAGAGGACTCAGCTCAGGAAGGAGGGAGAGGACTCAGCTCAGGAAGGAGGGAGAGGACTCAGCTCAGGAAAGAGGAAGAGCAGTGATCCGGTCTCAGTAGAGGCCGCAGCAGCCCCTACCGGGGAGTGGTTTCAAAGCTACTCTCTGGAGTGAAGCAGGCGCCCCAACAGGTGCTGACAGTGGAGCCTTTTTGACAGCAGCGCTCCCAGACCTGGGGGAAAGATCTTTCACGATCCTTCATCCTTTTTTTGTTTATTATTAAAAAAGAGAAAATCATCTTTAATCAAAAAGTCTGATTAAATTCAATATTAACTCAAACTCTTAAAAATTTTCTGGAAAAGTCAACAGGGTGGATCACAGAATAGCAGGCAGCTGCTGACAGTTCTTTGGTGGAAAAGTAAGTTGCAAACTTACCTAAGCTTCCCAAATGATTATCAAGCCAAGTTTGTTTTTCAAAAATAGATCTTAAAATATATCAAAGAAACTATTGAAACAATTGAAAATTTTAACAATGATGTTAAAGTATATAGCAAAAAACAAGTATGACAATACACATGAATAATGTATAAAAGAAGCCTTTCAATCCTAGAAAACTAAAATTGGGAGAACTTGCTGAAGGGTAACAAACATAAAATGAGGACTAATAGCAAGGAACAATCCTAAACATGTTCCTAATGACTGACTAAGCCTCAAAAAGACAGCTTAGCAAAACAACATGTAGGTTTTTTCCCTAGCCAATTCAGTTCTATTTAGATAAATCTGGTTACCAATCAATACATATATAAATTAATTTCTTTCTACTCAATTACTACCATTTTTTTCTTTTTCACCTTTCCCCTAATTTCCTCTAGCAAAAACTTTTCCTTTGGTTCGATCAGCTGAACTCAAAAGGTTTGGTACCTAAAATGAGTATCAACTCTTATTGGAATAGCACTTGGGAAATGCAATGCTAGAAAAGGTAAATGTTTAACTGAGGGCTTGACAAAGTTACGCGTCCA